GCTCACCGCGTATCCTGCAATTATGAATAGCTTGGCCGCGCCTTGAAGCTTTATTCCTATAACTGTTGATTCGAAGCTTTTGTCTGTCGTTTCGTGGTCTAAGCAAACGTGTCTGAATTTAATATTTTTATGAATGACGATACCCGTTCCTCCAGCTTGTTTAGCATTATATCTATCGTTTCGAACAAAATTGTAATTTTCGAATACAATTCTGTGTCCAGCATTTAGCTTAGTTTCACAAAGTAAGGCTATATCCGGATTGCGGTCGTTAAGACAATCCAGGAGAGAAACGCGTCTTCCGTTTGTTATTATAGAATTTACGTTTATTTGTATAATGTCCAATCGTTTTAACGCGAGTTTGTTCGCCACATGTGTCTGTACTATTCTCCTGGGAATCTCCATTTAAAAGTCTATTCCGAGTGATTCTGCGATAATAGTTATTCTATTACCATTAATTTCTACGCTTTGTGCTATTCACGCGATCTGTTCATTAATCGAGTTTGTTATTTGTCTTATTTCACCTAATAGTGTCGTGTTGAATGTGTCGGTTGGAAGGTTTTCCGTGGGTTTGTCCGTTTCCGCGTTAACGACTGAGTGCGTTTTTGTATGCGTCTGTGTTTGTTTGCCGGAAAGTATCGCGCTGTAAGAAATGACCGGATTGATCGTTTTGTTTATTAATTGCTTTTTCCGTTCCCGTTCTGTTTTGATCGCTTGTTTCCTTTCGTCGATCTTTTGCTTCATTTCCTGAAGCTTCGGGCATCCCCTGTAGGAAACGGGGTGACCGAAGCTTTCGCAATTGACGCAAAATGGTTTTTCTACCGTCTTGTCTGTTCACGAGCACTCTCCCGGATTGTGTTGGAGATTGCATTTCACACATCTGTATTCTAAATTACAATTTAGTGCGATGTGCCCTATCCTTTGGCACCTTTTGCACTGGACTCTATCTTTTTTTATTATCTTCTCCTAATAAATCAGGGAATGGAGGGAATAGATTTTGATTTGTTTTAAATCGTCTATTTTGCTGTCGGGAGACAGCTGAACTATGTAAATTGGGAGTTTTCTCCCTTCTTGGATGGATTTTCGTCTCTCGAATTTTTTGACCGCTTGGAATCTGATGCCCGGAATGTTTTTCGAGCGGAGCTTGTTCAAGACGATTTCGGGTTCAAACTCACCATCTAGGTTCTTTAACAGCATCGGTATGCTTCGCGTGTCTTTTGGCGAATAAGTGAAAAATTTTATATTTTGTTGTCTCGATAATACGCACGCTGTGTTGTGCGCGGAAATAGAGTTTACGTGCAAAAGATGCTTATTGTTGATCATTGTTTTCATGTAAATATTAGGAATCGTGTTCGATAGGATTTCAATTATTGTTTTAGACAGTGTACCGATTACCGTTATAGGGGGAGGCTTTGCGCTTCTTACCTGGTTATCGGTGGCCGTCGATGCGCTCTCTTGCCAGTCGACGTTCATCGTCTTGATTCTTTTCGCCGATGGTGGAGGTGCTGCTTGCATCTTTTGGGGCTGGCGTTGGTGACTCGAGCTGCTGCTGACAGATGAACTCGTAGGCTGGCTCGGGCGATATCTCTTGGTTGATCCCACTTTCATCCACTGTTCCCCGTCTTCTATCGATGAATTGTTTTCCGGGGCTGCTGGGTTTTCCTTCGTCCCGGATACTTGGCTAGGCGGCTCGGCTCGGCTGGGCGGCGAAGGACGGGGATTTCCCCCGTTGTTCTTCGCTCTTTCTTCTTCCAATTGCTTCGAAAGAGGCTCTACCGTCTTATTTAGTTTTTCGATGATTTTAAATAAATCATCGTGTTGCATCGATGCGTATTTCTCGTTTACTTCCACAGACTTAGCGGAGGCTGCTTTCTTCGTTGGCGGCATATTCGTCAACTTCCGTGGCTGTAGGGTTGTATTTTTTTATCGATTAACTTTGGCGCCTGTTTTGGCGTTTTTGAACTCTTTATTCTGGATGCGTTCTTTATTCGAGCATTTATTTTATTAATGCACTTTACCGTAAGTCCTTTTTCTTTTATTTTCCTCAGCGCTTCGTCTATATTATCACTGTATCTATTTCTATCAGTCTATGGCGTTTATTCGAATTTATTTACCAATGTGTGCAAGGGATTAGTCCCGTGCATATTGACTGTGTTGTCTATCTTGGTGGTGTATGGACTATAGACGACGTAGCACGTAACACTTCCGTACACTGCAAGTAAGGCGTATGCTTCGAGCTGCGGAGGATCGGCAGGTACGTCCGACACTCACGAAGGTCAAGGCAAAAGAGGGCCTCAACACTATATGAAAATCATCGGAAATAAATCTGTAGTTACAGAAGTAATAAGACTTTAGTCGTAAATATAGAAGGTCATCGTAATATGACTTTCTAAAAGAAAATACGGATTTGCCGTTTAATTCTGCTGTCTGGCTAGTAGCTGCTGGTTTTTTAGTTGGCGCCATAATGGTGAGTTTCAGTTGCGGCGATGCTCATGATTTTTTTTCACTATTGCGTTTGGCACTGGTTTTGCTGCTATTGTCCTTTTCTGTTTGATGATTTTGTTTATGTGTGCGTTTATTTTATTTATTCCCTTTTCTGTTATTCCTTTTTCTTTAATTATTTTAATCACTTTATCTATATTACTTTCACTGTTTATATCATTCTTTGATATTATTATTAAATTGTTATCTACCGTGTCCAAGGGATTATTGCCCTATGTGCTTGATGTACTGTCTATTTCGTTAAACTTGTATTACTACACAGGAAAAAATTTCACTCTCGGTATAGTGCAGGTATATTCTCTTCAGTAAAGGGCTTCGACTGTAGAGGAGGTTCGGTCGGCACGTCCGTCAGCCTCGAAGGTCTATGCAAAAGTGACCCTAGCAGGCCCTGCCTTAGACCGGGATACTAGTCAAAGGTCGGGAAGTTATATATATATGAATTGGAGGTTTTTCGAAGACTTGCAAGAAAGTTTTCGAAGTCGGAATACATCTAGATGCGAGGGTGCGAATGATGGTCGCTATTCCTTTCTTCCATCTCCTCAATCTCTTCCTTAGCTCTTCCTTTTCTATACATTCCTCACCCCACCACGTAAGCCCGAGTCTTCTCTTCTTCTCCTCCTTTTCCTCTCTTTTCAAGGCTTCTGTTTTCACCACCTGCCGCCCTCTTTTTCATTCATTCTTACGATCAGTGAAAAATGGTCTGAATCCAGTCTTTTCCTCCATCTCCATTCGCTTAATCTCTTCCTTTTCATCTTCTTCCGTTATGATGCAGACTATGACCATGCCCCCCTTTCGGACCAGAATACGTCACTTCTCCAGTTTCATCACCCATTACGCTTTCATTTAGAATCAGAGAACTTACCTCTTGTAAGAGATCGATCAATTTTCGCCCTTCTCCATTTATTTTTCCGTCCTGCGAATTCCTGTTTTTCACTGTCTCCTCTTCTTTCGCCACCCATCTGTATGTTTCTCCCATTTTTTCGGTCCTCGCCTTAAAATCGCCTCCGATATTTTGCTTCCCGCTTCCTCCATTTCTACCCAATTCCTTGCTTGTTTTATTTTTTTCTCCGTATCAGCCAACACATATATATGTGTTATGTATATGTTATATGTTATATATTGTGGGATGGCGAGCGGTAAAGGACACTAACAATATGTAGATTTCTGTCTGCATAGGATTAATCTATCTAGAAATCCTACAATATTTAATTATTATTCAAGGTGAGAGGGAAATTGTGAATATATATATATTCTGGCCTTGGATTCTCATTTTTATCTTTACTATCCCTTCTTTGCTTCCTACCTGTATTTTTTCGCTCTAGATCCAAACTTCTTTCACCCCTACTATGATCCCTGCCATTGCTCTCCCTTTTTTATTCCTCCTTTCCACAAATTACTTCATCCACCTATATCCTTTTGGAAGCTTATTTCTCACCCTTTCCTATCCCTTCTTTCCCACGTTTCTATTAAAATCGTCATTTTCCATTTTTTTAACTTCTTCCAGAAGTCTTCATCCTTGTTCATCAATCCTGCCGCATTCCAGAATGCAATCTTCCATTCTCCCCCTCTCCTCCTAATCCTCTCCCCAAGCTATTCATTCCTCCTCTCCTGCTCCCTTTCCTCTACTCTGCTCTCTCTGATTCTTATTGACTTCTGATTCTCCTCTTCCTCGTCCCATTTCGTTCAGTCTTCCACTATCTAAATTTTTCCATACCCTATTCTTACTTTTTCACTTCTCTTCTTTCCTCCTCTGCTATTTTAATTTCTATCGACTTCTTCTTTCCTTCTCTGTCCAGTGGTCCTCTAATCTTTCTACTTCTACTTTTAGTTTATACTCATTCCCCATTTTTCTTTTCTTCCATTCTAAATTTCTAGACTTCTAATCTCCTCCATTCCGACTTCGTCTCTCCTACCTTTTCCAAGATCCGCTTTATCATCTTCTTTTTTTTTTCATTCCCTGTTTCGCCCGCTTCATTATTACATTCAACGTTCTTGACTAGCCTCTCGATCTTCTTGACTCTTTCTTTCCATTCATCTTTGTTAAGGAATAATTGTACGCACACTGCCTTACTGTTATCATTCAACATGATTTATTAAAACGTTGAACGCCACGTCACTCAGATATGGGTGACGGCTGTGTTTCCACAGGGGTCCCGTCGCTCGTAAACGGGTGACACTATTCTTCGTCCAATTAACCCTTTGACTACGACAGACTTTGAAACGTACCGGTCGTACCACACGGATAGGAATTCATTTACTTATATACGCTTATATACGCCTTCCGTGTCACAAAAGCAAAATTTCTGAGCGCGTATATGCGCCCACAGTAGCCAAGGGGTTAAAACAGGATTTTTGAAATAATTTATAGTAATTTTATTTGTAACACAATTATGACGAGTATGGACAACAGGAAGTAACAATATACTATAAACTATAAACAAAAAGAAACATTAAAAATATACTTATATTTAAATTTGTTTTTAAAATATTATAACATTTTTTTAGTTATAATGGTATTCGTTAAAACATTTTAAACATATTTGAGGTGACTGTGGACACTCAGGACAATACGTTATAGTCTTTTGCACATTTTTTCTTGCGTCCTGGCGTTCGAGAGTTTGCCTCTGTTTTGCGTAACACCGGACGCACATCCTTCTAATAGATTTGCCCTGAAGATTTTTGCGAATTTGCAGGTGATGAGTCGCCTTCTTTATTGCTTGGGGCCATGCGTTTTCGGATTCCAACCATTCCCTAAGTATAAGCTCTCGAAATTTTCTTATTTGTATATTCTGGTTCGTTGCTTTCTGATAAACAATGTGTGCATCCACTACAGAATTACCTCTTAGGAAATGAATTGCTAGTTTTCGATACCATTTTATGCAAAAAACTCTTCCGAATTGTCGTTGCATATGATGCCATTTGGTCGCTTCTCTTACTGCCAGATTTTCCAGTATCGTAAGCTATGACTGCTAAAGGTTTTATTTTTGGAGGACGTCCGCGAAGAATGGACGAGTCCGAAACTGGTACCATAAGAGGTGCATATTTCGATGATAATATTCTGACGTCACGGGCATCTCTCCATTTCAGCACTACAATGCCATTATCGTCTTTCCGTGATATTATTTCACCTCTCTTCAATAGGTGAAGCGTAACAGCTTTTGGCATAAATTTCCTATTGTGGCATACCGTTCCAACAACATGGGTTTTGAAACCTAACAATTTCACTGTTAATTCATAACTTGTATAAAAATTGTCGATAAACAAGGTACTCCTCGGTGCAAACGTTTTCGGCTATGCCAACTTGCCTGATCCCGCAAGAATCGCGTCCAGCATATATTTTAGTGGACCACGTATATCCTTCTGTAGAACACAATTTGAAGAGTTTTATGCCATATTTATGCGACTTTGTCGGAATGTATTGCCTGAACATGAGCCTTCCTCTCCAACCATAGTCTCATCAACTACAATTTCTCTCATTCATCCCCGCCGAGGGGACACGATGGCACCCGACTATGCCCGTCAATCCGTGTTGCAGTCACTTAAGCCTACAATCTTGTCTGTCTATTTCCTCCCTTTCAACATCACTTCTCAATCTTTTCCTCTACTCTTTCCATTTTTTTACAAATTTCCTCTTCCTCTTCCTTCTATTTCCATCCATATTCATTTTACCTCTCCGTTTATTGTCTCCATCTGTTTGTCCCTTCTCTCCGCTTCTTCCTTGAAAACTGCTTTCATCTCCCTTATCTCCATCATCACGCTTTCATTCTGTCTTTTCATATCCTCCATTAGTCTACACACTATCCTTTCTATACCGCTTCCCCGTCACCTTTCCCGCTTTCCTTCCATTTACTTCCTCTTCCGTTTGCTCCTCCTCTTTCTCTTGTTTTTCAATGGTAGTTCAAAAATAGGGCTCTCCTGCGCCACTTGTTCAAATGTCTCTTCTTCTCTTTAATACATTTCTCTTTCCTTTTGTTGTCTCTCCCTTTAGCTCTCACCGTTCCCACTTGTCCCCACTCTATGATAGTGTTTCTCCTTCTCCATTCCATTTCACTCGTTCTTTTCATTTCTTCTGTTTCCTTCCTTTCTTTCTCCCTAGATGGGAGCCCGCTTACCCTTTGTAGTTTCCTGCACTCTTTTTCCTCTTCCCCCTTTCTCACCGCTACTGGTTCTATCTTCATTTTTCGATATTTATTCTACTCTCTACTTTTTTTCTCTAACACGCACTTTCCCTGCCTCTCTTATGCCTTGATCTCCCTCATTACTTCCTCGACCATCTTTTCCTGTACGCTACCCTTCATCCACCCTTTCTTTGCTATCAAATTTAACAACTTTCTCTCCTGAGAACTTTCCATGTCTTACCTCACTCATCCCAGAAACGGAACTCTTCGATAGCTAGATACTATATGTGCCGAGTTACTTGCATTTGTCTTTGATTTACATTTTTGAACCTAGTTATTTATTTCACGTAGGTTGTCTTCTAAGAGTCCTGCTGCTGTGCTTAGAGCTTCATGTATTGCCATAGCTGCTGCGTCGTCCGCGAATGTACCATGCCATTACGCCGTTAGTCCGTGGAAGATTAGTTGTAGACAGAATGTTCCAGCATCGATTCGATCCCAGCCGAGAAGGTGGTGATTCTAAATGAAGAAACAAATCGAAAGTAAAGAATAAAATTCTTCATTTAAAATTTTGTTGTTGAGAAAATCAACATTGAATGTTCGCCGAGAATCCGTGCACTTAGCGATGATTTGTTAGATTATCGGATCATCGGTATACCACCGTACTCGGTGAATATTCAAAGTTTATTTTACCGGGCACGAAGCTTGAAATGATAAAATTTGATTCGTTTCTTCTTTATTTGTTCTTACACGTATAATCAACCCTTGGTCGGTTGCACTATGAATTTTGGCTCACCGTATAAATAGATAAATTTATAGTTACTACGCGTTCAGGAAGAGATGGCACGGCGTGTTTACATCCACACGGCTGACTGATTCCGCTGACACTGCCTCGATCGCAGACATTGACCGCTATTGGTCGAAGACAATGGCGAAGATCATCGGTAGGCTGTAGCGAGACCGAGTGAGGCAGGAAATAGCAGCATCCGTCGCTTTGTGTTAGCATTGGTGAATCGTTCGAGCGATCCTAAATACGATTAGTAAAATATCTGTGTTGGTCAGAAGTGACCCCGACACAGGGCTGCGAGCTTCAGTAGTCGGAGGGGTTAATTAGGTTAATTAATTAGTTTTAGTGGTTAGATTAAGTTTGCTTATACTTTATTTTGTTAACAAGCGGAGGACTATTTGCAATTCGGAGCAAATGCGACACTTTACATTCATATTCAGACTGCCTAGTTCCGCTTCTCTTCTACAATCCCTTGCCCCCCTCCCCTTGCCTCCGGGTGGACAATGACAAGAAAACAGCAATGTGTTCGTAAGGATAGTAAATAAGTAGTGTTCCTGTGCTAATGTATATGCTCTCATGGATTCGTAATATAGACGGAATTCATTGCAGTAGTAGCTGGTAACAATTTTTTCACGAAAAATTTCACGCATATAGTACCTTTCCGACAAATTCATGTCAAATATATTTACTTATTGCGTGGCATACATGGAATGAACGCTAGGTCAATATTTTTTCTGTATCATGATTAAACATTCGATACATACACGATGTAAAATGTACATAACATGCGAGATTTAGATGTAACATTAAGATTGGTGCATACGCAATATTCCCTTCAAATATTTTCTCTGAATGTCATGTAAAATATGAAGCAGTGAAAAGAGAGTCAGGATTAATTACAATTTTGTAGTGACTGTTTTTTAACAGATCGTCACCGATCCAAAGATGTAGAATCATGCGAAGGTTACGGCATATAATTTTCACCCACCCCGTTATAGGATAATATGGATTTGGTTTTATTAGTGTGAATGCGAATGTGTGAGGTCGAGTAGTGGCACGAATGTAGATATGTATCTAGGATCGCGTTGGGTGGATTGGCTAAAATAGCGCTGTTACTTCTTAATAGAATAAAATAAGCTTATACGTAGATTGACGGCTATGAAACAAGAGGGATTCGCCATGGGCACGTTCGACTTTGACTTCTTACTGACACTCTCTTAGACACTAGCTTAAGAACTCTTAAAGACTAACTCGTCCGCGTCCTTGTACCCGTATTTAAACCATTTATCCTACCCTGATCCATACCCCTTTCTTTCCCAGTCATGCCCCTTTCCCACGCAACCTCGGTGGGCCAAGCACTTCAACCACTCCGAACGCATCCCTCAACTCTCACTCGACTCTATCATAAACATTCCTTGCAGTAAATCCTCTTGCACGCGATCACTTTCGTTCTGAGTCCAAACACACTTGACAC